CAGAGAGCATGTCTGGACAAGAACAAACCCAAACTATTGTATAATAGTAAACATGTTTCTTCTTGTTTTGCTACATCATATTGCCATTATACTTTGATGGCACTTACTGTTGAGCTAATTAAAGCCCAACTCCAGGAAATTGAAGTTTTCCCTTTTGGTGGGGCTGCCCCCGTATTGCAAGGGTTAATTGCTCATTTATGCCTATGAACCTGGAAAAAGCTGATTTTCTGTCTTCTAGGCATGAAAGAGCACTTATCCATCGCCTTTCATTTCCCTGGAGTTGGTCTTTAACAAGAAAACATGGTGTTGATTATGGAATAACCACTTTTTGGTGCTTTCTCTATGGATGAGAGACTGAGGCATGGGGTTCCATGTAGATATAGATCCCTGTAATAATTGTCTGACTGTGCACAAATGCAAGGCTGGCATTTCATTTGTGAAATGTAAAATCCATGAGCAGAAATTGCCTCCCACTGCATATTTGTTAACATGCGATGCAGTGCGCAATCAATTTATAACCGGCAAAAAGGCAATCCAATACTAGTACATACTGAAACAGGTCCTCCCCAGATGCAGATCTCCTACAAAGCCTACTGTTGGAACTTCTTGCACAGTCTCATAGAGAAACACAAGCACACAGTCAGATATGCAAGCTGCACATGGCTTGACTAAAACAGGAAGGAAGCCACAGCTTTATTCTCTACCTTATTCAATACAACAGAGTATCTACCATAGATATAACAAAACTTATAAACACTGCCATCTAGTGACCGAAATTGTATACTGCAGGAGTTGTTGCTATAAACACAGTAATGTGTATTCTAACACCCCCCACTCAATAACTACTCCATAAGTCAATCCCATTCTGGATCCTATTGCATGCTTATCTTGAGGTAGCTCTGAAAGTGTCCATGTCTGCAGTTCATTAGGAGATGTCATCCTTTCATCAGCAGCTCTGATCTACTTTTGTTTCTCATTGGTTGGAAGTCTTTGCATCTCATCCCATGAATTTTGCTATGGGGCCCTGTGATTTCCAGTTACACCCCTGATCAGGAGCCCCTCTTCACATCAGGAGCCCTCTTCAAATCAGGAGTCCTGTGTACATCAGAGACCACCTCTTTCACATCAGAGCCCCTCCTTTCCATCATAGCCTCTTTTTACCTGAGAAGCCCTCTATCACATCAGGAGTTCTGATCACATGAAAGTCTTCCTCTTTCACATCAGAGGCCCGCTTCACATCATGAGCCCCCATTTTACATCAGAAGCCCCTCTTCACATCAGGAGTCCCATTCACATCAGAGGCCCCATTCACATCATGAGCCCCCATTTTACATCAGAAGCCCCTCTTCACATCAGGAGTCCTGTTCACATCAGAGTTCCCCTCTTAAACATCAGAGTCCCCCCTCATGAGCCCCCTTTACATAAAGAGCTCCCCTGCACATCATATTTTGACAGCGGCAGAATGGCAGAGGACCAGTGGTGGAGCAAGTCTAGATGGAGGTGGACCCATCGCTCCTCTTCTGAATGCTTAATGCAGTCCTGAGCGCTACCGGCCCTAAATTAGCATCTTGCATTTCCATGGTGCTAGTGAATGGCCCACCTGCACCATGGAAACACATGACGCTGTGCGAAAATTTGACGTCACCCCAGGCGAAGCCAGTGGGCACCCTGGTTGAAAGGGCTGCGATAATGTATTAGTAGTGCTGCTTGTTTCAACTAACAACATCAGGGGATTATTCCGGCATGTTATTTATCAGTTTGTTTTTGATGCAAAACAATTGGCATAAAATTGTTTAGAATTCCCTCAGCCCAACCTTAAAATCCAAAATCAGTAACAGTCCTATCACTGAAATACCTCAATGCTAGCCCAGATAATATTATGCCAAAAATTCATGCACCTATACAACTCTGTATTAAGGTATGAACAGCGAAAATGTTGTCAATAACATAATGCCACATTATCACTGCAGAAAATACTGCGCCAAATGCAACTGATTTACGTAATGGTGCATGTTTTTTATACCTATCAAGAACTAGACCAGGAGTAATATATCTATAAGTATATATTGAAAGACAAATATAATGAGCCACTTGCCTGCTGACATGCATACAGAATGGCCACATAAGCAATAGTACATGAATATATAGTACAATATTATATTACACACACAAAAAGGCAATAGTGAGAAACATATCCAGCAACTAGTCATTAGACAATAAACTATAGCAAGGGTAGGCAAGCTCTGCACTCCAGCTATGGTGAAACTACACTACATGCCTCTGCCTCTTGAAATCATGCTTGTGGATGTCAGAGTCTTGCAATTCCTCATGGGACTTGTAGTTCCACAACAGCTGGCGTGCAGAGGTTGCCTACCCCTGGTCTATAGCAAGCTAAACCGTTCCTCTCATATCCTTGTATTATACACCCCCTATTGTATGTGTTACATGATATGATGATTATATCATGCCCCTCAAATTACTGGAGGGCGTCTAATGATAGATTTGTAAGTGTAGTGGTGGTTCCAAGACGTTGCATGCAATGCGCGCCCAGAAATCGCTTGTAATTGATTGCAATCAGTGCTTTAAAGCTGAACCACATTCATTTCTGTTATTAGGAGACAAATGCCTGCTGCCATAATAACTTGTCAATGGTTAGGGGAAGTCATAAAGTCTTCCTGAAGCTCCACTATATCTTTATTACATTGTATAGAGCATACTCCAGGTGTCTGCAATCCACCAAAGATGACTACTGAAGATCTAGCTGATGAAATGACACATCTAGGCTGAATGCATTGTTCAGGATGGATCCCCTGGACACAGAGAGGCTGAACTGGAGCAAGGTAAACCCAGTATGGTTTCCTCAGTCAATGAAGGGTTAACTGTGGTGTTCTAGCCTGTGGTGTTCTAGCCTACAAACCGCTATGGCTAACAGCTCTATATTACAAATCAATCCCAAAATACCATTTGGCAAACTGTCACTTTATTGTCAAATCATTAACAATGTTATTTCGAAGCAACCCGTGCTGTGTCATTTTATTACATTTGTCAAACATTCATTGTTTTAAATGTTTTTATTTGTAAATATAAAGCTAAAATAACGCAGCGGTCCAAATAATAGTAGTGATCACAACAAGGCATTTCTATGGATTTACAATACAGCTGAAGTCTACAATTTAGCTGATTCATTAGGGTTGGTCTCCACTGGCAGCAAATAGGGCACAACCCCCCAAAAACTGTCTTGTACAACTGCAAAATTTTAAGAATGGAATCAAACTTAAGGTGGCCATAAACTATACAATGTGATTGTACAGTCTCATTTAGATCTACTATCAACTATGTAGTGCAGGGGTCTGCCTGATTTGTTACAGATTAAATGCATTGTTTATGTTTGTCCTCATAGTACATGATAGATAGATAGATAGATAGATAGACAGATAGATAGACAGATAGATAGACAGATAGATATATAGATAAAAACGGAGTGTGCAATGATACCTTTCTTATTCGACTAACAAAATATATAAAAGACAAGCTTTCGAGAGTTAAACCTCTCTTCTTCAGGTCAGAAGCAATACTCAATACACATACACACACACACACCACACACAAAACAGACACAGTTGGGCTGATTTACTGAAGGAGTTGAGAATCTTCAGACAATAAACTGTGTGAATGTTCAATTCGACTATCCAATCACGTGACAAGCAAATGCCTGTTAACTTGTGCACTTGGATAACGCAATTGAATATTTACACAATTGATTGTATGGAAATTCTCAACTCTATTAGTAAATCTGCCCAACTGTGTCTAGACACAGGCTTAGGCTGATTTACTAAAGGAAATGACAATCTTCAGACAACAAGTTGTGTGAATGTTCAATTCAATTATCCAATCACCTGAGAAGCAAATGCCTGTTAACTTGTACATAAGATTGCATAATTGCATAATGGAATTGGATATTCACACAATTTATTGTATGAAGATTCTCAGCTCCTGAGAGAGACAGAGAGAGAGACAGAGAGAGAGAGACAGACAGACAGAGAGAGAGGCACACAGAGAGAGAGACAGACAGAGAGAGAGACACAGAGAGAGAGAGAGACACAGAGAGAAAGACAGGGAGAGAGAGACACACAGAGAGAGAGAGAGGAGAGAGACACAGAGAGAGAGAGAGAGAGAGAGAGAGACAGAGAGACACATAGAGAGACACAGAGAGAGAGACACACAGAGAGAGAGACACACACAGAGAGAGAGACACACAGAGAGAGAGAGAGAGAGAGAGAGAGAGAGCAGTATATTGATATAGAGATAGACATAAATTTGCAGACATGGTTAGGCTGATTTACTAAATGTGTTGAGAATCTTCCGACAATAAATTGTGTGAATGTTCAATCCAATTATCTAATCACGTGACAAGCAAATGCCTGTTAACTTGTGCACTTGGATAACGCAATTGAATATTTACACAATTGATTGTATGGAAATTCTCAACTCTATTAGTAAATCTGCCCAACTGTGTCTGCATATGTATATTAATATCACTATAGATCACAATCTCTCTCTCTCTCTCTCTCTCTCTCTCTCTCTCTCTCTATATATATATACACATATACATATATATTATACAAACACACACACAGAATACACCTAAATAAGGAACATTGTAATTCTGATTCCAGGACAAGCCCTGTGTGTGCAGCCTACAAGCTTAAACAGCAGATTGGTCTGTACAGAAATAATGACATTTTGTACATCAGATGTAAAAAGATAAAACATTTCCTGAACTTCCTTTTCTCTTTTTCCGTAAACTTGTTTTATTTCTAGTCTGATGTGGAGTGAGGTCCCAGCATCTGTCTGCCTATTACTGCCATGAACATCCACTGAACAAGCCTCTCGGAAAAAAAAAGCTGTGAGAGGCAAGTGATGAAGATCATAATCTGGACAAGTAAGACAGGAAATGTTTTGTGTCCAATTCCAGCCACATGTATAAGTCCCACACTTACCACCTCGGAGTCTTCGAAGCCATGGATGTACAGGTCGTCGTACATAAGGGCTCCAGTATAGGGAAAGGGAAGACAAATGCAGAATTAGATCCAAGGAGGAGCTAGTCTGTGGCCTGGATGTGATCTGATAAATCGGGGTAGAGAGGGAGAATTCACCGGTTTGGTCCCACCCTAGATGCTAGTAGAAGGAAGCAGCCTAACAATCAGGCAAGGGAACAATAGCACCCACCCACCATCCCTTCCCCGTCATCCACGCAGGGATGGCTCCTCTGATTGGCAGAAGCACATCCCTGGAGCATGAGTCTACAGCTGGGAGGCTGATGCAGGCAGGAGAGAAGCACCTGCCCACGATGCTGCTGGAGCCTCACATACATACTATAGGAGGGAACTCAGTCTACACATCTCTGGAGTCAGTACAAGCAGCACAGCCCGGGTGTGGGGCTCATGCACACGGCCGTTCACATCCATACAGCAGTATTGTGTATGATGGGCCCATGCATGCACCTGCGTTGTATGCAATAACCGTACACTGCATTCAGCTGCGTAACATCAAAGTAGGAAATCCTGCAATTATTTGTTACAGGGATTTCTATAGTGCTGACAATTTACACAGCGCTTTACATATTGTATATTCACATCAGTTCCTGCCCTCAAGGAGCTTACAATCTAAGGTCCCTATCTCACATGTATTTATACACGGGCCGATTTAAGCTCACCACACGTGTTACAATCTGATTGTACAATCTCTTGTGAGTCGGCTATATACTATGCAATCTGATTGTACAATCTCTTGTGAGCTGGCCATTTACTATGCAATCTGAATGTACAATCTCTTGTGAGCCGGCTGTAAACTATGCAATCTGATTGTACAATCTCTTATAAAACGGCCATATACTATGCAATCTGATTGTACAATCTCTTGTGAGCTGGCCATGTATTATGCAATCTAATTGTAAATCTCCTATAAGACGGCCATATACTATGCAATCTGATTGTGCAATCTCTCTACAATTTCCTTTAAGCTGGCATTACACTGTGTGATTATCGTTAACCTCACCTATAGAATATCTGCAGATTTTCTGTGGTCAGATGGAAAAAGTTCAACAAATTCCTCCATCTACACTAAACTGTGTTGCTGGAGGAATCTCCCACTGGGCCAAACTTCATTATCTTGGTAGTCGGCCCTGCTGGCTCTCAAAATACCTGAACAGTCTGATTGGATGCAGCCATTGTACCCGTGTTTTGAGAGCCAGCAGGGCTGACTAGCAAGATACTGAAGCTTGGCCCAGTGTAAGATTCCTCCATCCACACAGTTTAGCGTAGATGGAAGAATCTGTTGCACTTTTTCCATCTGACCATAGAAAATCTGAGATAATCTATAGGTGTATGGCCAACTTTAGATTTTTTTCATGCCGTCATCGAACCGTCACTCGATTTCCGCTCGAATACCCCATCATGCACAAACCAATATGGATTTCTATTATCGTTCATTAGCAATACTAACTCACTGAATTTCGTCAGTTGACGGAACGGATTTTTGTTTGCGCGTGTGCAGTGCTTATGTTGCGTTTTTTTACGTACGAAAACGCCACTGATCCATCGATTTTCGTATGATTCAAAAAAAGTTTTCCAGCCTGACCGATCGAGGAAATTCAGCCAGTTGTACAGCAATTGTGATCGTTCACTTCCCATCAACTGGCTGATTATCGTCCAAAAACCCGATCGTGTTCGAGTTCCGAACAATAATCGCAAGGTGTATGGGAAGCTGTAGATTTACCTAAACTATGTAATATGAAGACAGACTTCTACAATCCATTCAGTTTGTATCCAATCAGGCAGAGCCTAGTCACTTCAGATCGGTCATTCACTCGGCTGCCCTCGGCAGCTTAGTGAATAGACCCCATAGTGTTGGTAGATCTAAAGGACATTGTACAATTGTAATATACACATTGTATAGTGTGTGGCCAGCTATATTAGCTCTACCAACAAGTATGTAATGCAATGGCCTGTCTGGCTGGATATAAAGTGATTGGATAGATTAGGTAGGCCCGCATATTACATAGTTTTGGTAAATTTAAGGCTACATTCACACTAAGTGCAATTACGTGAGTTTAAAATGTTTTTCTAAACAAATATAAATGCATCCAATGATTTTCTATGGATCCGCTCACACTTTGCGTTTAGATACTTTTATCTGCAGTCAGTTTAGCTGTGTTTAGAATAAATAGAAGTCAGGTGCGTCCAGGAAACATCTTTTAGACCCCATTCACACTGAGCAACTTGTAGCGCGATTTCAGCTCAAAAATCGCTCAAACATCAGCTCAATGTAGCTTATCCAATGCATTTCAATGGAGCTGTTCACATCTCACAGCTCAATGTCACCTGTAGCTTGCCGCTCAAGCTTGTCGCTTGAACATGACCTATCTTTCGGCGGATTTCGTGCGATTTGGCCCAATAGACTTCAGTGGTGTAGCTCAATGTTGCATAAATTTGTGTGACATTGTCGCGCTGCGTCGCGCTACAGAAGTATCACTGTTGCACAGAAATATAAGCAGGAACATTATGTCACATCAAGACCCCTTTTGATAGGATACAGCCCAATGTAACAGCTACGAAGTCCATGCCAAAAGTAGCGCTATGTAGCGTAACAATATGTGCACTGTAGCTCAATGTCTCTCAAAGTCGCTCAGCTCAAATCAGCGCTGATGTAGCTCAGTGTAATTGGGGTCTAACTTCCAAACGCACCAAAACAAATGTAAATGCATTTTGATCCTAGCATTTGGTATCAGACACACGCACATAAATGCATGTAAATGCATGTAATCAAAAGTGATTTAACGCACCTAGATGCATAAAACCAGTATCTAGCCTGACAGATTTTTAATCTGCTTATAAAGGACAAAAACGCAAGTGCCAAGTGTGAATGTAGCCTAAAGCTGAATGTCCAGAGCCCTCCCCTTTTCACATCACAGTCCCCCCTTCATATCAGGAGCCCTTTTCACATCAGAGCCCCCCCCTTTTCACATCACAGTCCCCTATTCATATAAGGAGCCCCTTTCATGTCACAGTCCCCCCTTCATATCAGGAGCTCCTTACACATCAGAATCCCCCTTTTCACATCACAGTCCCCACAGCCCCCCTTCATATCAGGAGCCCCCGCTTTTCACATCATAGTCCCCCTTTATATCAGGAGCCCCCCTTTTCACATCACAGTCCCCCCTTCATATCAGAAGCCCCTTTCACACCACAGTCCCCCCTTCTTATCAGGAGCCCCCCTTTTCACATCACAGTCCCCCCTTCATGTCAGGAGCCCCTTTCACATCAG